AAGAGCTAATTATGAAAAGCACAACTCCAGCCCTTAGAGGATTCGTGGGGCCCCCAGAAAAAAATTAACCATCATTTACAGAATCCTTAGTAATGTGCCAGACCCTCTTTAGGTGTTCTAAACATTATCGTGTTCATTTTTTACCACCCTTTAGAAGACAGGTGCTCATAATTAACCCTGTTTTTAGAAATTAGGTGACTGAAGCTTTGTCTGCTTAAGGTTTTCCCCAAAGTCCTTGAGAGCATAACTGTCAGGACCAGATCCCAAACCCATACCTTGCCTGGCACATTCATCTGCTCCAAAAAAACAGAATTGGCCCAAGGAAAAGGAAAGATCATGGAATTCCAGGTTGAAGAAAGATCAGAAGACAAGCCAAAGGCAGACATGCTGGACATGGAGGTGGTACAGGCTGGACACAGGTTGGACCCCCTTTCCAGGAGGATTTATGCCGTAAGTGAAGTCTTGCCCTTTGAGAGCAACTTCCCTGGCATCCCATACTTTCTGACCCCTACAACAACACATCCATCTGTGTGTGTCTGTGTGTGTGTGTGTGTGTGTGTGTGTGTACATGTGAACTCACTGCCACTGCCCTGGAGTCTAAGCACTGCTGTTAATTTTATGAATGTCATAAAGATTCATATGATGGGAGGAAAGCTTAACTATTTAAGGATCAATGAATGCCAGACATACAAAAGTCCATGTGGCGGGGCAGTCCCCAGGTGCGTGACAGCTCATTCTGCTGTTGGTGATTTGCTTGTTCACCTCATCTGGGAACCTCTCGGATGGAAATAATGCAGTTGTGGCTTCTTCCCCACACCAACCCGCCTGGAATGGCCAAAGGCCAGTGTTCAAACACACGCCAGAAGGTCCTCAAAAAATGTTGGAAAAACATGCAGCTTTGGGGAAATATTCTGCCATGCTTCAAAGGGGAAAAAAGAAGGGTAGAAGAATAACCAATCTTTGAATAGCATTTTTAAAATCTAACAAGGAAATTGACTTGGAGATGGTGGGTACATTTTTAACTGTGCACATTTTATAATAATAATAATGATAATAATAATGATAATAATAATAATAATAATAATAATAATAATAATAATAATAATTACCATTTGTTAAGGAACTACTATGTACCAGTTAATAGCTCATGGGTTATATATAACTCATTAAATGCAATCTTTACAACAATCCTGCCAAGGGAAGTATTATTCCCATATTTAAACATAAACAGAGGGTTAGATGGGTCAGGCAATTTACCAAAGCCCCTCTTTGAAAAATTTGCAGAACTAGCATGCAAGCCTAGTTATATGCTATTTTAAGGTTTTTGTTGTTGCTTTACTCTTCTCAGAATCTACAGTCATGAAATATAACCTATTTAAAGATGTTTAAATACAATTAAACAACACAAGGATAAAAAGGCCCAAGCTTATATATATATATAAAATTTTTCTTCTTCTTTCCCAAAAGGAAACAGACACATTAGCTTACTTTTTACTACGTGACTAATTGCTATGGGATTTGACCTGAAGAGATCAGTGAGCCCTCCAGATCAATGATTGATCCAGCTATAGTGTCATCAGGTGCCCGTCCATGTGCGTGATGTTGGAGGGAGGTCCCGTTTGTGGGAATCACAAAGCCATCATCCATCTGACACCTGGGTCTGGTGGGCTCCACCTGCAGTGCTTTCCACAAATGTCTTCCTTGGTCTGTTATCATTTTTAATTGCTCACAGGATGCTTCTTACCAGGAAGGTTCTTGCCAACCACGATCATCAGCACGACCTCAAAGAAGTCTCAGAAAACGGAGCAGTAAATTCAACTCAGTTCCTCTGATAAGAGATAGTATATGGGGTGTCTGAGAGTGTCCAAGGTCATAGACCCTGTTGACCTTTTCAGAGACAGCAGAACTACGTTTAACAAATATATGCAAGCCCAGAGTGCCAAAAGTAAAGGAAGAAGTTCTATGCAGAGACAAAAGGCACTTTGACTCAGAGAGCCCTGAACTTAACACATCATATCTGATACCAAGATAATCAACAATAGTATTAATGACATACCAGTTCTGTCTTTTTCCAGTAAATATTACTTAGTAATTTCGTGATTTAAGCAAATGTCTTGGCCTCTTAGTTTGTTCTATAAAGTGTGAGTAATGACCTTATCTCACTGTTTAGAAAATGAAGTGAGATGGTGGTATTAATTAAAACTCTTTTGGTTCTAAGTGATAGAAGCCCAATTAGAATCAGATGAAGATGAGAGAAATGGGTAAGACCTTTCATTATTAAAAAAATAATAATAATGTCTATCAAGAACATGCATGGGCTGGGTTTGTAGCTCAGTGCAAGAACGCTTGCTTAGCATATGTGCGGCACTGAGTCCGATTCTCAGCACCACATACAAATAAATTTTTTTTAAAAAGATCCATCAACAACTAAATAATATTTATTTTTAAAAAAGAGCATGAATGCTGCTGGACTTCAGGAAAAACTGGAATCAGAAGCTCAAGAGCCATTAGAAAATTATCCCTGTTTCTTGTCTCCACTTCCTTAATTAATGCCTGAGCATCTCCCCTTCCCGCTGCTCGGAAATTTATATGGCAAAGTAAAGCCACCAATGGCTCACAAAGTTGCACAGTTTAAGAAGCATTCCAAGTGATTGGTCCAAGTTCTAAGTCTTAGGCAGAGATTGGCTCAGTCCATGTCACATGCCTGTAGTTAGACCAGTCAATTATCTGTTGAGAGGAACAGCTTTTGATCTCCCTTGCCAGGCTGTGGCTGTGGTAATCATGAGGATAGGGGGAGACAGATGGTTCACAGAAAAGAAGGGATTTTGTTATTAGCAAAGAGAGTTTTATCACAAAAGGATTCACTACCTACAAAAATCCATGAAAAAATATCTATCCATATACCTAGTGACAGATACACTTATTTATAGATTTTTTGTCACTTTGTAGATTTCTGCACATCTTAAAAGGCTATATATGTTTTTTTTAAAATCAAAACAAAAACAGTATTATGCATTAGTTGCAAAGAATATTGTCTATTGTTAAAATTCAAAGAGAATGTAAGTGCTAAGAAAATGATGTTTCAAATGCATTATATAGTGGCTCCTCAACTTATTATGTATTCATGTCCTAATAAACTCATCATTATGTCAAAACTGCTTTTAATACACCCAACCCCCGACCATCCCAGCATAGCAGCATGGTACACTGTAGTCTCGATTGTTCACCCTTGTGGTTTCAAAGCTGACTGGGAGCTATGGCTGTAAGTCCAGCATCACAAGAGAATGATTACATGCTTTCTAGTATAGTATGAAACCAATCCAGAAAAAGATCAAAATTCAAACTTCCAAGTTTAGTTTCTATTACATGCGAACCTATTTCACACCATCAAAATTTCACAAAATCACAAGTTGAACCACTGTAATTAAGAAACCTTCTGTATTTTTTCCACTAGATAATTTAAAGACCAAATATGGTATGATACGTACATGTTGAAAACAGGATTTTGTTGGTCAACCTTCTTCCCTCTCCTGACCCTTTGAAACCCAAATTCTCAAAGTTTCCACTCTTCTGATATTTTTCTATCTTTAAATCATCTGAGTTTTAGGGTCCAACCCTAAGATTTTAGCATTAGAAATACTTAAAATTATTTAAATATCTATGAAATGTTCTTAAATGATTTGCAGTAAACAGAGCACCAAGCTAGAAATAAAAAAAAGACAATTTCTATTTTTCTCTCCTTTTCCAAATGTAACCAGACTAATCTTAGACAAATCATTTATGCTTCCTAAATCCATCTGTAAATCTGCTTGAATGTCTACCTGTCCTTCAGGATGAAACTCAGGCGCTTCAATGGGTTAACTATGAATAGAATCCATTTACAGGGAAAAGTGGGGAGAAACCTCAGAGAACGAGAGATTTCCCTCTTATCAAAAAATGAAGATCAACCAAAGGAAGAATCTATTTTGTGTGTAATACAAAATAATTATTTTGCTTGGATCAAATTGTAGGAATCCAATTGCCTCTGTCAATAAACTCAAGGCCTGAGCAAGAGATCCAGTCAACATATTTTAGAAAAAGACCGCTTTCCATCAGTTTCCAGAATTTCTTCTATTCTCAATATAATAGTGAAAATTTTTGGAAAGAATGTTATTATTCTGGGACTTTCAAATAAAATGATGAAAAATGAGTATGGCTACAATGCTTTAAAAAAAAAGAAAATTAGAAGTCTCAGTTTTGCATGGTATTTTGCTGCTACGATACGATTCCTTTATAGGGAGAAAGAACGAAATTTATGAAGCAACAGTTCCCAGCAGTAATATTCCAAGAGGAAGCTAAAGAAGGGAGCTGGGAGGCTGCCTGGTCTAGAAAAGGGTTACCTACTAAATATGATTCCTTTTGATGTCTTTGCAAATACAAAAAGAATTACATGGAAAGACAGAGTTTCCAGAATAATAATATCAACCTGAAACACAATTCACATATTCTCTAAGACCAAAGCTTCTTCTTTTTGGGGTTTCTTGGTTACAAGTTAATGGTACATATATTGATGGAGGACTCGTGCCATTTTGAAGTTTGTTGCATAAACACTGGATTTGGGTCCTTAAAAAAATCCTGTCCATTCATTTCTTGGTAGTTAGGATATTAAAATATGCAATAAAAAAGTGTGTTGTAGTCGGTAGTGCTAATCTTTTTGTAATAATTAATGTTCTTTCCCACCAGTCACCACTCCTTTTATTCTTGTCACCCTCACCCAGGAGCCACAAAATTCAGAAGACAGTGACTTTTTACTTGATTCAATTTCAGGAGGTTGAAGGAAGACCAAACCCCACCTTCCTCTTTCCTAAATACTTTTTCTCCCCTCTCCTAATTACATGGCTTTGTACTGATTTACATGAATTTCAGCTTTCAAAATCATTGGTCTTTGCTGAATGCAAATAAGCACATGGGAGAATTATATTAAGTTTGCACAATTGATCTTTCATCATTTCAAATGGTACCTTTGAACATTTCCTGAAATGTCTGTCTGAAATACTCCCAACGCTGAGTGTCATCAAGAGATGGGGGGTCACGCTGGGGAAACCCATTCTCAGTGATGTAAATTACAGGGTTATTATACGTATCCTAGAACAAGAGAGCAGAAGTTTTATTCCAAACAGATGTTTAAAAAAAAAAAAGCTCATAAAATCAGGTGCATTACCCTCAATCTTCTTGAAGCTACAACCCCAAAACTAGTTTTCATCAAATTGCACTGACCCTATTAACTTAATTTTCCACACGCTGACCTTTTATGACTAACAATGGAAAAGCAAAACTGTGCAAATGTCCATGAAGACAGTCAAATGACTCTTATTATAATGAGAAGACAGAAATATCTTTCTTCCCATCAGCATCTGCTGATTGTCACTGCTCCTTAACCCCTTAGTCCCTCTGGCAGCCACATTCCTTACTCCCCACAGGAGGGGTCCTCAAAACTGATAACTTGAAATTTTAATTTCAGCCACCTGGATGTCATCCAGCGGAATGGAGACTCAGAAAGGCTCCAGCCCTATCTTTCCTTAAAATGCCCTTTTAATAATCACTGTTGTGACACCAGCTGGAAAAATGTGTGCAAGCTACTGCTACAGCCATTGCTGACTTTAACAACAAATTCTGAAGTTGACTGCAGGTTTTAAGCCCATTACTAGCTACTTAGCCCTCACCAGCTCACTCCTCAATCTGTTCTTCCCAGGACAACAAATGGACATCATATTAACTAAAATCACCCACTTTTAGTTCCATATACACTCATACACATGCCTGATTGCCATCCTCACATATTTGGGTACACACAGACAGAAACAAATCATGCATTTACCTTAATATATTTCAGTAATTTACGTATTCCCCACGGCACCGCATAGACCCAGTTAACACCTTCCCAAGATGGATCTGGAAAACTGTCAACCTGCAAATCCTGCCAAAAGTCCAGTTTTTCTTGTTCTCCTTTCTTAATCTCTGGGTGCTTGATGAGCCGAGTTGTATAGTATTGCACAGCAAAGAAATCAGCAGTGCCTTTGATCATTTTCTTCTCTTCCTCGGTAAATTCTGGAAGCTTCGATGATGGAAATCCTTGCTTTTTACTCATGGATGCAAGGTGGGACTTGACAAGATCAGGATAATCACCATCAATGAATATAGGTTTAGCAAAGAAATCTAATGCAAAAGCAGATGCTCTTTTAACAGCCTCCTGGTCAGCCACTGAGTTGGGATCTCCGGGTTCCAACCAGACAAAAAACAATGATAGAGACACCTTACCCTTCTGCTCTTTTCGGAATAAGGAATCATAGCTGTGCCAGGCTCTGGCATGAGCCTTAATCAAATTATGAGCTGCCTGATAACCTGCAGGCCCAAAGTGAGATATACCAGGAGCAAACCTGCCCATGTCATATGCCAACACAGCAAGAATGTTAGGCTCATTTATGGTGATCCACTGCTTGACTCGATCCCCAAAGGTTCTGAAGCAAAACCGAGCATATCTGTCAAAGGCTTCAATGATTGTCTCTGACAGCCAACCTCCTTGGTCTTCTAAAGCCTGAGGCAAATCAAAGTGGTAGATGGTCACTATGGGTGTAACCCCATTTGTCAACAAATCGTCAATGATCTTGTTGTAGTAGTCAATTCCTAAGAGAGAGGAAGGAAAAAAAAAAAGAAGTGAGAAATTGTTTTTAGCATGTTGGCTATAAATTTTAATCGAGAAAGGATCAAGAGGATTTCTTATTCAATGAGGTTTATTACTTCCCCCAGTATAATCATTGAGAAGCTAGAAGAAAACGTGGAAATCCCAGAAAAGACTGTCTGATGGGGGAGTGGGAATGTGATGGGGTGACATCATGGAAAGACTTATTCTGAAACTGGATACATTCGGGCACGTCACTCTCATCCAAGATTGTGTTATTGTCACACTTACTGAAATTGTTTTGATTCTTTGTATGTCAAACTTTACCTATTAAACCCACTAGAAGAGAAGCCCCAGGACAGCAGGAATCTTGACTTTCTAATTCAGCTCTGGATTCCCAAATCCTGGGATAGTACCAGAAATTTAGTAGGTAATAAATGTTTGTGGAATGAATGAATATCGGTAGTATTGGATAGAAAGTAAAGGAATTGATTCAGATGGCTGATTTAATGCTTTTCCAGACCTATTAGCTTCACGAATCTAAGAAAGAAAACCTACTGAGCATGAACAGCATCTCTCCCCAGAATGAAGGTTCCAAGCAGAGGTCAGAGGCTCAGGACATTGTGAGGACCTGGATGGGGTTTGCTCTAAATTTCTGACAGGGTGCATGGAAATGCATAGCCAGACTGGGTTTCAGCTGATCCTCCCCGGACAGCATGTGTGGGAGAATGCTTTCAGGACTGTTGCCAAGTTCAGAAGGACGTTATTAAGTTGAAGAGGCTCTGCCTCAGGACCCACGGTCAGGAAGATATTGGTCCAGCCTCATGATGACCCTCACCTGGGAGGAGATTTTCCAATACAGATGTCAGTGCTACATGTGGTTTTGCGTGTAAGAATATGGAGGAAAATGAACCTTGGAAGAGAGCAGCTGTGCTGTTTGAAGAGGTTGTTGACTGAACAGAGATATAAAATCATGCACAGAATTGTGTATGTTAAAAGTTTGCCTAAAAGACTGGTTCCCTCTTCCCCCCCTCCATAGCTTAGGATCCTCCAATTTAAAAAAAAAAAAAAGTAATTCAGACTTTGGCATTGCATCATCAATCCAGTCATTCATTTGTTAAATGTTTAAATATAATCTGATGGAGAAATTATTATATGCTGGACATATAGACATGAACAAGGTAAACACCATCCTCCTCCTCAGGAAACTTATCAGGAGGGACTAGAGATAAACTTATAAACCAGTGCAACACGGTACTACTAGTAAAGATAAAATATAGAGCCTTAATTTAAAATGTGGTAAAGGGTACCCAGCCTACACTTGGAGCATTTGAAAACTTAATGTGCATAATTGACTCTCCAGAGTGAACAATAGTGCCAGGCTAACTAAATGCTGTCCTAACTCCTTCACCTAGTAGCTCTGTGACATTGGGCAAGTTACTTGATCTCTCTGAATTATCTTACCCCTCTGTGAAGTATAATTAATAATAGAAACCCATTTCGATGAATTATGACGACAGTTGCATGAGTGGATAAATTGAACATGCTTAGGACAGTTCTTAGCATCTGGTAAGGACCCACTACAGGTGAGCTATTATTCTAGAAATAATTTTATTGTTAATTGTTATTAGTGACAACCAAGCCAATACTAAAAAGGTGACTATAAATCACCCACAGAAGAGATCCAGGAAGAGAAAAGGGGGAAAGGAATGTGCCAGAAACCAAAGGAGATGTAGAAATAAAACACCCAAATGAGAAAAGTAGGATATTTAGTTTTCTATAGCTGGGGAGTCAGCAACCATCACCTGCAATTGGACGGACTCAAAGGCCAACACAAAAGAGGAAACATAGCCTGGTGCAATAGTGCACCTGCAATCCCAGCGGCTTGGGGCTGAGGCAGGAGGATCTCGAGTTCAAAACCAGCCTCCGCAACTTAGCAAGGCACTAAGCAACTCAGTGAGACCCTGTCTCTAAGTAAAAAAATTTAAAAATGATTGGGGATGTGGCTCAGTCGTTAAGCGTCTTGGGTTCAATTCCCAGTACAAAAAGAAGAATAAGTGGCAGGGAGGAGAAAAAAGAAAAGAAAAGCTGTATAGAGTTTGGTGTTTTGTTTGTTTTTAAAGGAGAAGTCTTCGGCTGGGGATGTGGCTCAAGCGGTAGTGCGCTCGTCTGGCATGCGTGCGGCCCGGGTTCGATCCTCAACACCACATACAAAGATGTTGTGTCCGCCGAAAACTAAAAAATAAATATTAAAAAATTCTCTCTCTCTCTTTAAAAAAAAAAAAAGGAGAAGTCTTCAGGTTACTTGTTAGTGGCACAAGGAAGCAGGAGGAAGGCTAAATAGAAGCAGTGTGTCCCATGTGGTTGGTTTGGGGAGCATATTTGGCTTCCTCTGATTGGGACTGAGTGGGAAGCAAGGTGGTGATGGTGGGACAAACAAACACACAAGCTGCTGACCAAGTCCTGACTATTCTGGGCTGATGGCTTCGGAGATGTGATTTCGCTTCTGATGTTTCTTACATAGGTCAGAGTTTTATTTTCATATAGAATTATAGCTATTTTGTCTGGTCATCCTTTGTCATTCTCTTAGAAGAGTATGACTCTTTCAGGCAGTAAGTTCAGTATAAGGTGAATGTACACCCCACCAGAAATGAGAGTGGGGGAGAGGTTAGCAAGGTCACCATAAGCCACGTTATGCAGTCTCATGCTGGGTCTCTTCTTAAGTGACATTATTAATAATATCTCATTATTTCTCAAACTGGAACACTGTGTGAATCATGTATCACGACTGCATATTTGGGAGATGCATTTCTATGCTATTTCTCACTTAGTAATTAGAATAACTCCTTCTCCTCCCAAAGATGCCTGTGCCCTAAACCACAGAGTGAATGAATATAAAAAGAGATTTTTGCTAATGTGACTAAGGTAAGGACCTTGAGATGGGAAGATGTCTCTAGCTTGTTCAGGAGGACCCCACATAACCACATGAATCCTAGGAATAGAAGTCGGTCAGAGATATGAACCAACAAGAGAAGAGAGGATGGTAGCTTGAGAGGGATTCAACCTGCCATTGCTGGCTGAGAAGATGAAGAAAGGAGACCACTGAGCCCAGAAATGCAGGTGGCCTCTAGAAGCTGCAGTGGTCCTCAGGTGAGAGTCCCCAAGGACCTACAACTACAGGAATGAACCAAGACCCAACTCTCCCACATAGGCTTCAGAAATAAATGTCGCCTTGCTGGCACCTGGATTTCAGCCTTGGAGAGATCTGGGTCAGACTCCTGGCCCAAAGAACTCTAAGGTAACATATGTAAGTAGCAATGTTTCTGGTCGTTCAGAGCAGTAGCAATAGAAAACTAATACACTCACCAAAATTTATAAAGCTTTTCTTTTCTCTCTTGATGAAAGCATTTCAGGAACCCATTTCTGTGCCCCTGTGAGCCCACATTTCCTCATTTGTAAATGGGAATATCAAAACTGATATGATGGAATTCTCTTGGTATTGTTAATGCAAGTTTTTTAGTCAACTCTGTTCAATGGCTTTAAACAAAAAATGTTAGCGTTCCCTTACTGAATCCATGCTATATGTCCCAGATGTCATGTTTTTGCTTTATCCTAGCACTAAGTCCAAGAGATGGATACTTTTATTACTATTAAATTTACGAGAAAATTGGTGTTCAGAGAGTCTCAGTGTTGTCAAATGGAACCACCAACATTTAATCCCAATTTGTCTCACTACAAAGACTGTATACAATATAAGACTTTTCATGTTTACTAATGTTCTGGAGCCAGAAAATGTGACAGTTTCACTAAGCTTAATATTGACTTAACACAGACCTGAATCCAATTCCAGGACTTTTATATTTTTCCTTTAGGAGGAATCATTAATGATAGTCAATTAATGTAATTCAAACAACATGAAAATCATGAGTTGTGTTGAAAATAAAACAATTGTTTAAGTAACAGAGTATTGCATAATTAATATTTAATACCCCAGATCTGAGCAACTTTATTTCTGATTAGTACAGTTTATTCAATACTGTAACAAAATTTTCCATGAGGTAGTGGAATGGGGTTTTTAATGGCCGAGCCCCACACTCATACAATTTAGTCAAAGGATCAGGATAAATCACTCGGCCACCCTACACCCAAGTTTCCTCATCTGTGAAAGGGAATTTTCACAGAACCACCTCAGGACTACCTTGGTGAATGAGACCAAATTGTCAATAGACATTCAGCTTTATTTATCAAACAGATACAATTCAGTGACAACTAATTCTCTGAATAAGCATGAATTTTGCACTGATCATCGATTACCAATCTAGAGATCTTGAAACTTTAGGGGGTCATTTGGATCCTGCTCTGCTTCTGGATATTTAGGACAGGGTTGGTGATTTTAAGAATTAAAACTTCTGTAACCTTTCATGGCCAATAACACAGTCTCTGCTTTATTCAACCCATTTCTGATTGTTTGGCCTTTGAAAATATGAAGTATATTTGAGTTAAAATTCTCTAAATATAAGAAAATAAGCAAGCCCAGACTAACTAAAATATCAAGGTGGTACTTGGGGCAGTTGGGTGGTAGTTGGGTGGTGGAGGTGAAATATGCTGGGTATTATTTGAAATGACAGGGACTTATCAGACACCCAACAACAGAAAAATAAAGAAATAAATAACTACAGCTGGGATCAAGGGAATTGAAGTTTGAAGCTGAGAAATCCTATGTCTTCTCCATTGGGGGAAATGGTCTCTCCTTGCACTTGCTCCATTGCCCTCCTTCTTTTAGAACCAATATTCTGCATGTGCCCAATTTTCTGTGGTCTCAAAACGGCCACACCATCTGCAAATGCCCTGGTGCCCTCCACCAACCAACTCCGACCTCAGTGTCTGCATTGCAAACACCCTTGAGAGAGGAAAACTACTGGGCAAACTCGGCGTTTTCAACAAGGTCACAGGAGTCAGATATCACAGGGGATGAAGGCTTTCCTCTGTCCTATCAACTGTGTCT